CATCTATTTATCACAAATAACTAAATTAATTAGTTTTTTTAATTTACTCAAATTAATTATTTAATTATTTCTTATATTAAGGATCGGAGGTAGTATAAAATATGTATTAATAATTGTGAAGCTTGACCTATGGACCGGAATATATTTTGCCTTGTTGAGGGAGATCTGGACATTGTGGGATCAAAACGAGAAAGGCTTTAGTTGACTCGTAACTCTCTAATATAATAACCATGAGGTTTATGTTCAAATAAATTCTCCCCATTCATTTTCTCTTGGCAACAAAAGTCAAAGTCTCCCCTCTGAAACTAAAAGGATCAAAGCTCTTGTGGAAAATTTGCAGAGTAATGACAGCCACCTTTGTTTTCTCCACCCACCCAATCTGTTTCTCCCCCTAGTAATTTATTTTAATTGTTATAGACAAATATTTAAAACTTCAATATATCATTGTAAGTTAAACAACAAGCTCGAGTGTTGACACTCGGTTACAACTCGAAATATGCATATATCAATATTTCTGGTCCATCCACGTGCAATTAATTCATAGTGAGACATAAAGATACTGTAAATATAAGCTTGTTATAAAATTTATATTTTATATTGATGGGAGTGGTTTTGATACTTGAAAATAAGTTGGTTTAATTTAAACATCCCAAGAAATTGCTGGGAAATAGTTAGCGAGTTGTTATCAATCCCTTTCTGTGATACCTTTTCTTTGCTCGAATTTTCTTCGGTAAACTCTTCAAGGGTCTCCCTCATGAAACCGACAAAGGTATTTAGTTTCTTGTTGACAAGTACTATTTTTTTTCCAATGATTTGTTTCATTTTTCTTGAATCCATTTTGTTAATTTCTTTTCTTGCATCAAGGTCTCGTGGAAAATTTTTTATTCTCCATAAATATTTTCTTATAGTAGTTGAATGGAGCTTTCCAGGAAACTGCATCAATTTGAAATTAGAGCATAGATTATGATTAATCCTAAAGCCTGGGATGGATACTTTTGTCTGACATGTGGAAATTAAATTAGAGTGAAAATGGGGGTTCGTTGTTGAATGTTCACCATGGAGATTTGGCTGTTCATTTTGAGGAATCAGACTATACTTTTCTTTGCCATTTTTTCCTACAAGTTTTCTAAATAGAGTGAAAGTCATAGCTGAGAAAAGTCCGGGTATGATTTTTATTTTCGCCAAAGAGGACGGGTGTGATTGACAAGAAACCATCAATTTAAAATGACATTTTAATTTACAAGTTGAAAATTAAAAAAAAATTAAAATGATGTTTCCTTCAAAATAACTAAGATACAATAGTTTTTTTTTTTTTACCAGCAACTAAGATACAATAGTTAAACGAGAAGTTTGGTGCATAATTAATAGTCCAAATATCCTTTTCTTTTTATAATCTATGTAGATCAACATAATCCGTGAAGCTATGAGGAGAGAATGGCCTAAAAATACATTAAAATAATGAAAAGATATTTTAATAGTTCTACTTCAATTTCTGCGCATAGCATGGGTCATATGAGTTCTTGAAAGAACAGATTAAAAGGCCATGAAATAAAACTATGGTCTTAAGAAAATCAAGATCCAACTTTAAAGTTTGATTTTTATGAACTAGCATTCATATTATTTATTGAAGCGGAGAAGCGAAATGCAGCTAAAAGTTTTTTTTTTTAAGTAACATAACATAAAAAATTAGAAAAATGTTTTAATTTTTAAAATTAGTTTTCAAAGTTTATGTAAAAATTTGATACTCTGGGAAACATTGATCTTTTGAATCCCTAGAAAAATTGTATAAAATACATTATTCTATTCTCTTGAAAGGGCAAGTTTAATTATGTGAGAAAATACAGGTTGGTCTGTAAGATAAATTTTGGATAACTCAACATGAGTGGCAATCACTTCTGTGTCTTAAGCATGCAGTTCGGAATTCGATTCTCAACCATTATATATGAAGTTGTAGAAGTCTTTTAAGGATAATTAATTTTTGTTATTGGCAGAAAATACTTCTTATCCATAGAAAAATGTATTTTGGCCAAATATAATTTAAATTTATAAAATAGTACTTTTAGCCTATTCTGAAATTATAGTCGCATACTTTTTTAATAAAACTAAGGACATATTTTGAAAATAAAAAATTATTTTTTTGCCAATTGAAAATAAAAGATTTACCGTCACATAAGCACGGTTACGATGAAATAAGGATTTAAAAATACTAAAAAAATGAAGTCATCCCACTCGCTGAGAATATTAAGAACGCATCCAATTTAATACCCTGTTTAGATGAGAAGAAAAGTTAGGAGGAAAAAAATGGGAGGAGAGAAAATAGAGAGAAAGAAAAACTAGAGGGAAGATGTTATCATCCTTTTTGCTTGGATAGATGAGAGAAAATAGAAAGAAAATAAAATTAACAAATATCTAAATGACTAAAACATCCTTATTAAAATATATCATATTTAAAATTAAATTAAATTAATATTGCAATAGAAAAATTATACTACCATTAGCATCATCAAATAATTAAAATCAAATTATTTGGTTGATATATATTTTCAGATTATGATATTTTAAAACCAAATTATTTAATAAAAATATGGTTTTAGGATAAAAAAATAAAAAGCGAATAACTTTTTAAATAGAATAAAAGAAAATAAATATGGAGAGAAAAATAGAAGAAGGGTAATCTTGGAAATCTTATTTTCCTTCTTAAATCTTTCCATATGTGAAGAAAAAATTTGGAGAGAAAATAAGGTAGGCCTCTCCCACTTTTCCTTCCTCCTATATTTTCTCTCCTATCAAAGTAAGGGAAAACTTGTTTCTCCTCATGTTTTCCTCTCTTGTTTTTCTCTCCTCTCTAATTTTCTTTCTATCCAAACAAGGGGTAAGTAAACTAATATTGTAGGCTATGAAAGTGGCAAAATGGTATTTCTTCTTTTAAATTAATTAGATTTAAGATCACATTTTCACCGTTTTGAAATGCCGCCGATAAATTAAGAGATGGATTTTTTTTTTGGCTTCTGAATTAAACGATGAATTTCAACTTTTAATTGGAAATAAAGATCAGCATGAATAACAAAAATCCTCATATTATATCTGTTTGTATGTGTCTGTGTGATAAAATGTTTGGTTACAAAAGACAATATTTTTGTCGAAGCAAGATAATACAAAATTCTCAATATTATGAACTCCGAGAAAACATTGCCATTTATTTTTGTTGAAATAATATCCTCTGATGACTTTTCTTCATCGGAAAAGTATACAAGTTATTAGCTAGTTATGTTATTTTCGAAACTCTCTGTATATAAAAGCCTATATCTAGTTATGTTATTTTTTCTGGTAATTATCTAGTTATGTTATGATTAATACTACCTTCGGTCCTAATTATAAAACCATGTTTGTAAACTACAAATAAAATCTTATAATTATGATCGGAGTTAGTATCATATAACATTTTATAAAATATCAAATTATGTGACCTAACTTATAGATAGTATTTTTAAGGATGTGTATGTAATTATGTAAGTGATTGAAGGTTTTGAAATCAAATTATTTATCTCAACCCGGCCAAACAAAAATATTTATATCTAAATATTTCTTCTCGTAGATTGTACATGTCGTTAATTCTAGACGTAGCTAAATCTTTCCCAACCGTCTATTAAGCTGTGCAGCGGATAGACAATCATGATTATTTATCTATGGTTTGCATATCGAACACAATTCAGCTCGCAATATCCCCAGTGACAAGGGAATTTGGATATAATATAAGAGCATATATATTTTAATTGTTCATTTAAAATTAAAGTTGAATGATTTAAATTTTATTCTACTTTATTCTCAATATTTTAATGTCCTTTTGTTTTCACACCAAATTTACAAATAAACATAATTTTCATAAATTATGATTTATTTAAAGTGAGACTTTAATGTACAATATATATATCCTACGTAAAAGTAAGATCATTGCAGCTTCGTGATCACTTATTTTAGTCTAATATAATCTAAGATGATCGTGAAGCTTCTTGGAAAATCATTGAGGGAGTATACTTTGCCTTTTTTTCATTTGAGGGAGATTTCCACATGGTGGGGGCAAAAGGAGGAAGACTTTAATTGACTCATAATTTTATAATATAACAACCATAAATCTTATGTTGAAACTAAAAATTTAGCCGTCACAAGAGCATGGCTACAATAAGATAAAGATTTACAATAAAAAAATGGAATCATCTAACTTGCTGCGCTAAGAATTAATATTGAGGCGCATCTAATTTAAATTATCTAATATTAGAAATAACCACAATATTATTAACTGTAATTAGAACTTGCGATTTGATAGAACAATTGCAGTTATGCGCGACAAGAGACTGTTTATGTGTGTGTATGTGTGTGTGCGTGTGTGTGTGTGAAAACCGCAAAATGGGTGCTAAAAATAGGAAGGAAATTTTTTAGTAATTTATCATCTTTTAAAATGTTTAGATTTAAGATCATATTTACATAGTTTTGAAATGTCATCAATAAATTAAACGAGTTTTTTTTGGGGGCTACTATATTAAATGATGAATTCCACCTTTCAATTGCGAGTGTTTGGTGTGTAAGAATGTTTTGTTAGAAAATAGAGCTTTTTTTGTCCAAGCAAAATAAAATCTTACAAGAGCACACTATCCGACACCAACGAAAATGCTCAATATTATGGACTCCGAAAACATTGTGCATTTATTTTTGAATTTTTATCTTTTTTTTCCAAAAAAAAAGAGGTTGTTGAAATAACGTGTTCTCTCCACATCTACTTTGACTTCTCTTCATCAGAAAGTGTACCAATGATCCATGAAAGTACAGCCCCATAATGAACTCTATAAAAAGTTCTACGTACCATCCGCATTTTACGCCTCACAACATCTCATGAGCTGAGAAAAATAAACAAAAAGAAACCACGGTTACCCAAGAACTGTGTGTTTTAATCCTCTCCAGTTGTTTCACTTTTGAATTTGTGTTGAAGCTATTTCGTCACTGTGATGGGTTGTGTGTTCAATTTTTGTAATGCATTATTAACATTGCTGTTGTTGCTGCATACAAGACTCAGTTTGGCTATTGATGGTGAAGCATTGAAGAAGTGCATCGAGAAGGAGAGGAAAGCTCTTCTGTTGTTCAAACAAGGCATCTATGTTGACTATGGCATGCTATCCACATGGAGGGAAGAAGATGATGAAGATTGTTGCAACTGGAAAGGAGTTCGTTGTAGCAACCAAACAGGTCATGTTCAAGTTCTTAACCTTCATAGTTTCGCTCCAACCTTTTTGAGAGGTACAATTAATATTACTTTGTTGAGTGAGTTGCATGATTTGCAACATTTGGATCTCAGTTACAATTATTTCTACCCAAGTGACATCCCTCAATCCATAGGCTCATTCACCAACTTAAGGTATCTCAACCTCTCTTATTCTGATTTTGTTGGGAGTATTCCTAATCAACTGGGAAAGCTTCCAAACTTACAATATATTGATCTGAGTAACAATTATTTGGATGGAGCTATCCCTTGCCAAATCGGAAATCTTTCCATGTTGCAGTCCCTTCATCTTGGAGGAAATAATCTTGTTGGAGCGATTCCTTATCAAATTGGGAATCTCTCCATGTTGCACACCTTGCGAGTTGGTGGTTATTTGTCTAACCTCACAATAGCCAACAAAAACAATGGTGATGCAGAGTGGATATCAAAGCTCTCTTTATTAACAAATCTTGAGTTGAGTTATGTGAGGGATGTTGGCAATTCTCAGGTGTGGCAGCACATGATTGGTAAACTTATGCCGAAACTAACAGAATTGAGATTGAGAGATTGTGGCATTTCTCATGTGCACAACCTTCTTCTGTTTGCTTCTCCTTCCAACTATTCTTATTCTCTTGTCACCCTTGATCTCTCTAACAATAACTTGAACTCATCATTATTTCAATGGTCCTTCAACTTTAGCTCCAACCTTCAACAGCTTTATCTAAGTAATTGCAGTCTTTCATCTCATAATCTTTACTTTCTATCTTCTCATTTTCATTTTCCTTCCCTCATTGTTCTTGATCTCTCATATAATAACTTGATGTCAGTAACGGCATTGAGCTTTGGCTTCAACCTTCAAGAGCTTTATTTGAGCAATTGTAGCCTTACATCAAATAATCTTATCTTCACATCCTTCAATCCCAACCTTTCCTCTCTTCTCCATCTTGATCTCTCTAACAATCTGTTGACATCATCAACCATATTCGATTGGATTTCCAACTTCACCTTCAATCTTCATAAACCGGACCTCTGGGGAAACTCGCTTAGCCCTTCCATTCCTGATGGTTTTGAAAACGTAATGAAGTCTCTTGAAGTTCTTGATCTCTCAGGTAATAATCTCCAAGGTGAAGTCCCAACACCACTAGGGAATATATGCACATTGAAGAGCCTAAGCCTTGCCTACAATAACTTTAGTGGCGACCTTCCGAGATTCATTTCTAATATATCATGGTGCAATAGACATTCATTACAGAGTTTGAATTTAGCAGGAAATCGATTGACGGGCATCTTACCTAATCTTTCAAGTTTTTCCTTGTTGCAAGATTTGTATCTCGCTAATAACCAACTAGAAGGAAAAATACCTGAAAGCATCGGATTGATGTCTCAATTGGAAAGTTTGTCCTTGGGTGGGAATAATTTTAGTGGTGTAATCACGGAATCTCATTTCAAAAAGCTTTCTAATTTATTGAGCTTATCATTGTCTGGCAATCCATTAACCATAAACATTAGCGCCAGTTGGATTCCCCCTTTTCAATTACAATCTATGCGCATGGCTTCTTGCATGATAGGTCCTAATTTTCCAATTTGGCTTCATAATCAACATCGGTTATCCTATTTGGATATCTCTGATGGCAGGCTTTTAGGTTCTATCCCAGAATGGTTTTGGCCACTATTGAAAAATATATATCACACGAATATCTCATTCAACAACTTTTCTGGTGAAATACCAAATTTACAATTCAAGTTCAATTATCAGCCAAGAATTATTTTGAATTCAAACAACTTTGAAGGTGCACTTCCACCATTTCTTTGGCAAGCATCAGAACTTCATCTTTCTAAAAATAAATTCTCAAATTTGATCCCACTTCTATGTAGCCAAATTGAATATGGAGGCATTGTCATTTTAGACCTATCAAACAATCAATTAACAGGGCATCTGCCTGAGTGTTGGAACCAACTGGACACATTAAAATTTGTTGACATGAGTAATAATAATTTGTCAGGAGAGATCCCATCCTCTATAGGACGCCTTGTGAATGTGGAGGCTATGGTTTTGAGTAACAATAGCTTGACTGGAGAACTTCCTTTGTCTTTGGCCAATTGCTCCAAGTTAGTATTATTGGATGTGTCAGAAAATAAGTTGTCAGGGCCAATACCTTCATGGATTGGGGTAAGCCTTGAACAATTGCAAATTCTAAGTTTACGAATGAATCATTTAAATGGAAGTCTACCCGTACATCTTTGCCACTTAACACAAATTCGACTCTTGGATATCTCTCGCAATAACTTGTCCAATGAAGTTCCATCATGCCTTGAAAATTTTACTGTTATGGCACAAGAGCATATCAACTCAAGTGGAAGTTATCATTATTATATGACCAATAAAGCAGGGCCTTATCCATACTCTGATGGTTTGGAATTCTATATAACATTGATGTGGAAAGGTGAGGATTACAAGTATATGAGGCCGGAGCTCTTTCTTAAAAGCATTGATCTCTCTAGCAATGCTCTATCAGGAGAAGTACCAAGAGAACTTATGTCTTTGTTAGGATTGGTTTCCCTAAACCTATCAAGAAACCTGCTAAGTGGAGAGATACCTATAAATATTGGGAATCTAGAATCACTAGAATTTCTCGATCTGTCAAACAATAAATTATCAGGCCCAATTCCTCCAAGCCTTGCTAATATTGATCGACTCAGTATGTTAGATTTGTCAAACAATCATCTCTATGGAAAAATCCCAATAGGAACACAGTTGCAGAGCTTTAATGCCTCATCTTATGGAGGAAACCTTGATCTCTGTGGATTGCCACTCAACAAGATGTGCCCAGAAGATAACACGCCTCCACCTCAAGAAGCCAATCACAATGAAGAAGAAGGGGCCTCATTGATCTCTCAAGAATTTTACTTGAGCATGGGATTGGGATTTGTTGTTGGATTTTGGGCCGTTGTAGGACCGTTGCTTTTCAACCGAACTTGGAGACAAGCCTACTGTAGGTTTATGAACACAGTAACAGACAAAGTCCATGTCATGGTTGCAATTTATGTGGTTAAATGCCTTACAATTAGAGACTAGCCGGAAGGTAATGATTTATATTTTTCTCTTGCTATTCTTCCTCCCATTCAACTCTTACTTATGATAACCATGTGATGGTAAATTACGAGAGTCCATGTTAATATAGACAAACATTTTAACTTGGTAATGATGTTCAAATAAAAATCAAACTTGGACATTGTATAAGTATCAGGCTTTTGACTAACTTATGGGAAAACTAAGATAGTAAAAATCAATCTTATCTATGGAATTACTTGGGAATGCTTAACATGCTACTCTATTTTTTACAGGATCTGTTTCTCCTACAGTTTGGCATTGGCTGTACTTATGATCCAAGTAATGATGGTTTGTTGCACGAATTGATGTTATGATTTGAATATATTGTACTTATAATAATGTTCTCTACTAGCATTTTATCGAACTGGTTATGTTTTGCTTATTGCCCTTTAAATATTTTCTATTGCATGCTAATGGTGGATATATATATAACTCTAGCATAACATCATATGTTTTGAAATGATATTCCTTTTGAATTATCTATCTATTGGCTTTGTATTGATATGGCCAAGTGGAGCTATTGATCAAATAATTCTGCTGAAGAACAAAATCTGAGGTCCATAATTTCATGAAGTAGAACTTACACATTGGTTTGATTGAGTTGTGACAAGGCATTGAAGACTGATATCTTTGATCGCTGAAAAAATCGGTGCATCCAAATGAAGGTCTTGTCGAATAGTTTTAAAACTTTTTGAGGGACGAATATCGAGAACAATGAAGTTAAATATTTCAAAGCTATTATGTTTTGATGTGCAGATTGTTCTACGTGAGTTCTCTTTTGTATTTGAGATACTCTTCCTCTGCTTAAACTACATAGTATTGAAGAGAAAAGTTGTAAAACTTGGGATCTAGACATGTTAGAGAGCCTTGTATTTTTAGCTTATAAAGCTTACAGAAAACAACAATAAAAAGTGGCATAGGTAAACAGAGTCAATGTTTGGGCTGCTTTGTATGTTATAATAATTACCCCCATGATAAAAATCCCTTGCTTTGTGCTTGGGGACTGGACGTAGGACATATTGGTCTGAACCAGGATAAATGATCTTGTGCTTTCTCTCTCTCTTCACTAGTTTTATTTGTTATTTTTTAAAGTTATATTCAAGGATAACCTCATCTTTCATAGAAATTTCACCATACAAAGTCATAGAAATAGAAAAATATTTTTGTGACATAATTAAACTTTTTTCTTAGATTCCTAGGTCAACACAACTCTAGAGATGATGCTCTAATGCATGTTCATTAAGAATATTCTCCAAAAATACATGAGTTTGACTCTTAAGTATAAATAACTTCATAAAGCAATTATTAATTTTAAAAAGTAGTTTGATTTTTCTTAACATTTGTTCTCAAAAAATAGCTATTTTTTTTTTTTAAAATGTTTAACACTAATACTACAATCAAAGAGATTTAGTGGAATTACTCAAATCCGCATTCACACCTAGTAGGCCCAAATCCTATGGTATAAGCATTGATTCTAATATAACAGGGTCATCATCAATATATCAAAAAACAAAATTTATGACAAGTTTTGTTATTCACGCCCATTCATAAAATATTAAATAACATTAATTCAACAATAACTTTTTTTGGTATGAGCAATTTGAAACATTTTCTTAGAAGAGGGATCCAGGCACTCCATTTTTTGCTACTTTGAGGTATAAAATCTGCGCCTCAAGGGATAAGATGTCATTGAATTAAATGGTTGGTTCTCAACAATTTAATAACAACACGCGCGCACAATGCTTTTATGTGGGAAAAGAAACGGGTGGAGCCCACAAACGTGGAAAGGATTGTGATTGTGTGGTTCTCCATACAATTTTGGCTTCTTCTCCGCAAAGCAAGCCTTTGGAGTTTCAGAATTGGAAGTCGAGCAACCTACACTTATATAAATATTTAAAATAGTACTTCTGATTTTTAATATAAATATACAAATTAAATAACTAATTTATGAATATTAAAAAACTAATTAAATTATTTATTTTTAATAAATAAATATTATTTTTTAAAAATATTTTATTAATATGTGTATTAAAATGAAAATCATTTAACGTATAAAATTTTAAATAAAATAAAATAAATTAAAATTTATATTTAAAATATATTGCATCATTTGTTTTTTTTAAAGCTGATTGCACCATTCTAAACTTTTCTTTTCCTCGAGAATTTTACTCACTTTTTCGCCACCCACTCCTCAAATATCATACCAAATTCTCCGTCTCATTACTACTACTACTACTACTACTATTTCTTTTATTATATTTTGAGAGAATCATATACAGGAACCCATTCACAAAATTGTTATCATTTGTTTATCAGTTGTTGTTAAAACTAATACTAATATTGTAACGAGTCCTTATTTATAATTTTTTTTATCTTTAAGATCTTTTTTGTGATTTTTTCTTATTTTTCCCCCAACAATTTCCTTCATTATTATTTACTTATATTCATAACTTTTTTTGTGTGGAAATACCCTCTTTATTTCATATTACACCCCTTTTTTAAATTTCATTTCTGGATTTTTTTTGACGAAAATGCATATTTATTGATTAATTTATCCATTTTGGGCCTCATATTTTCATCTATTTAGATATTTTCACCATTATTTTTATCGTTAAGTCGATTAATTTAATCAAGAAAGACATAGATTGAATAAGAAATTAATAATACTTAAATTATTATTTAAAAGTTATTTTTATTTTTTGGAAAATCAATTTTCTCCTATAATATCTACAATATTGTTTTCCTGTGATTAAATTTCTTTCCTCATTTTGATAATAAGTATAAATAAAGCGTAGCTAACTATTTCCCAATGAAAAGATATGAATGGTTGGATAAGCTTGAAAGGGACTTGAGGTATTATTTAATTTAATAAATTTAGAGTGAAGAAAAAGCTATTGGCTGGTAGGAAGAATTATACTTTGATGTCTATATCAAACTTATAAATATTATTCTTATCATTACTCCTTTTCTGATGAGATGATAAATGTGAAAAAATGAATAAAAAAAAACCAAAATCTATAATTTTCTTCAGGTTATCTGTTACTGTATCACAAATGATTGTTATTTTAAACATTTAACATCATCCAAAACACCATATCTTTGGACCGAACATTCTTTATTCAATTTGTCGGCATTTTATTATTGATGGATGAGGGATGACAAGTCCCCTACCTTATGGTCACAATAAAATAAAAAAACTACAATTTACTATTATAAATTAAAATTATTTATTGTGTTTGTTTGTGTGTGTTTTTGTTGTAAAACTATTTTTAAAGATGACGATGATGATCATAAATCGAAAGATAAGAATAACCATCAAGGAAGCTATCCTAACTTAGCTCTGTCAATGATTAGATCCTGTCTAGTAGTCTGATATTAGAAAATTAAATTAAAAATATGTAAAAAAAGAAAAAAAAAACTGAAACCGTTTAAATATAATCAAAATAATAATTCAGACGTGATCCCAAGCACTTCCTAAGAAAAAATTGAAGCCGGCGCCGAGTTAGATGAATGTTAGGTTGATCTTTGGTAATTGAACTCAAACGATTTAAAATCCAACGTAAGATAATATTCGTCCGGTCCTTAATATATGACTTAATTGTTAAAATACCTCTCATTAACAGAAAAATTATTTAAACATTCTTATTTGCTAAAAAAAATTTTTAATACAACAAAAAACAATTTTAATACATGTATTTTTGAATTTTTAATATGGAATAACATTTATTAATTTTGATTATATTATTAAATTTTACAATTTTAATTTTTTTACTGCATAGTAAAACTTATTTATTTAGATTTCTTTTAAATGACTAGGAAATATATTAAATAAATATTTTTTTCATCATGTAATATAAATTCTTTGAGTTTGAGAGACTAAAGAAATCATTTAAAATTTTGAAACAAAAATTTTGTTAGAAACATTTATAACGTGTTTAATCTATTATATATTTATTTAAAAAATTAATTAAATTTTCATTCAAGATTTTCATGTCTACTTTAAATAAATAAATCAATTTTTCATCCCAATATGATAAAAACACTAAATAAATAACTATTTGTAAAAATAAAAAATAAAATTAAGGAAAAAAATTTTAAATTCCTCAAAATTTTTTTGCTAAAATTTAGGGATTTTGTGTTATGAAGGGTAAATTAGTAAATAAAAATTATCTTAATATAAATTTTAATTAAAAAGTTATCTTTTGGAAATATTCTTAATAGAGTTAATTTAGAATTAAATGTATGTTTTCAAAATAAATAAGAAGTTGATGTAACTAGAGCAAAATATAAAGAATGTTAGGGTATTTTACTAAGTAATTTTTTTCCATTTATTTTCTCTTGACAACAAAAGTCAAGGTCTCCTTTTTGTAACTAAAGGGATCAAAGCACCTATGGAAAATTTGTCAAGTAATGACGACTACCATATTTTTCTCTACCAACCCAATCTGTTTTTCCCCTATTAATTTATTTTTCCAATATAGTCCATGTAAAAATTATACTTCTAACTAATATATTTGATTAGTAAGGATATTTTTAAAAAAAACATATTTATTACAAATAATTAACTTAACTAGTTTTTTTTAATCTATTTAAATTATTCAACTAACTCTTATATTAAGAAATAAAGGTATTACTCCTCCGGTCCTTATTATAAGACCCCATTTGACTTTTTATTTGGTCCTAATTATAAGACCCAAATCCATTTTGTCTCTTATATTTTTGTATTTTTTCCAAGATAATCCTTCTAATAATGATAGTTTTAGCCAATATACTTAATTAGCAAGGATATTTTAGGAATGACAATACTTATTTATTATAAATAACCAACTTAACTTACTTCCTTAATCTCCTCAAATAAGTCAATTGGGTCTTATAATTAGGACCGGAGGAGTATAAAATATGTATTAATAATTGTGAAGCTTGACCCATGGATGGGAATGTTGAGGGAGATCTGGACATTGTAGGACCAAAACGAGAAAGACTTTAGTTGACTTGTAACTCTATAATATAATAACCATATTATGTTCAAATAAATTAAATTTTCCCCATTCATTTTCTCTTAGCAGCAAAAGTCAAAGTCTCCCCTCTGAAACTAAAAAGATCAAAGCTCCTGTGGAAAATTTGCAGAGTAATGACAACTACCTTTGTTTTCTCCACCCACCCAACCTGTTTCTCCCCCCAGTAATTTATTTTAATTGTTATAGACAAATATTTAAAACTTTAATATATCATTGTAAATTAAACAACAAACTTGAGTGTTGACACTCGGTTACAACTCGAAATATGCACGTATCAATATTTCTGGTCCATCCACGTGCAATTAATTCATAGTGAGACATAAAGCTACTGTAAATATAAACTTGTTATAAAATTTATATTTTATATTGATGGGAGTGGTTTTGATACTTGAAAATAAGTTGGTTTAATTTAAACATCTCAAGAAATTGCTAGGAAATAGTTAGCGAGTTGTTATCAATCTTTTTCTGTGATACCTTTTCTTTGCTCGAATTTTCTTCGGTGAACTCTTTAAGGATCTCCCTTATGAAACTGACAAAAGGTATTTAATTTCTTGTTGACAAGTACTATTTTTTTCCAATGATTTTTTTTTTCATTTTTCTTGAATCCATTTTGTTTCGTTTCTTGCATCAAGGTCTCACGGAAAGTTTTTTATTCTCCATAAATATTTTCTTATAGTAGTTGAATGGAGCTTTCCAGGAAACTGCATCAATTTGAAATTAGAGCATAGATTATGATTAATCCTGAAGTTTGGGACGGATACTTTTCTCTAACACGTGGACATTAAATTAGAGTGAAAATGGTGGTTTGTGTTGAATGTTCACCATGGAGATTTGGCCATTCATTTTGAGGAATTAGACTATACTTTTCTTTGCCATTTTTTTCTACAAGTTTTCTGAATAGAGTGAAAGTCATAGTTGAGAAAAATCCAGGTATAATTTTTATTTTTGCGAAAGAGGACGGGTGTAATTGACAAGAAACCATCAATTTAAAATGAAATTGTAATTTACAAGTTGAAAATTGAAAAAAAATGTTGTTTCCTTCAAAATAATTAAGATACAATAGTTTTTTTTTTTTTTTACCAGCAACTAAGATACAATGGTTAAACCAGAAGTTTGGTGCATAATTCATAGTCCAAATATCCTTTTCTTTTTATAATCTATATAAGCCATTTATATCAACATAATCCGTGAAACTGTGAGGATAGAATAGCCTAAAAATACATTAAAATAATGAAAAGATATTTTAATAATTCTACTTCAATTTCTTTGCATAGTATGGGTCGTATGAGTTCTTGACATTACAGATTAAAGGGCCATGAAATAAAACTATGGTCTTAAGAAAATCAAGATCTAACTTTAAAGTTTGATTTTATGAACTAGCATTCATATTATTTATTGAAGCGGAGAAGCGAAATGCAGCTAAAAGTTTTTTTTTTTAAGTAACATAACATAAAAAATTACATAAATGCTTTAATTTTTAAAATTAGTTTTTAAAGTTTACGTAAAAATTTGATCCTCTGAGAAACATTGATCTTTTGAATCCCTAGGAAAATTGTATAAAATACATTATTCTATTCTCTTGAAAGAGCAAGTTTAATTATGTGAGAAAATGCAGGTTGGTCCGTAAAATAAATTTTGGATAACTCAACACATGAGTGGCAACGATTTCTGTGTCTTAAGTATGCTGTTCGGAATTCGATTCTCAACCATTATATATGAAGTTGTAAAAGTTTTTTAAGGATAATTAATTTTTGTTATTGGCAGAAAATACTTCTTATCCATAGAAAAATGTATTTTGGCCAAATATAATTTAAATTTATAAAATAGTACTTTCAGTCTATTTTGAAATTATAGTCGCATACTTTTTTTTAATAAAACTAAGGACATATTTTGAGAAGAAAAAATTATTTTTTTGCCAATTGAAAACGAAGATTTAACATCATATAAGCACGCTTACGATGAAATAAGGATTTAAAAATAATAAAAAAAATAAAGTCATCCCACTCGCTAAGAATATTAAGAACGCATCCAATTTAAGTAAACTAATATTGTAGACTATGAAAGTGGCAAAATGGTATTTCTTCTTTTAAATTAATTAGATTTAAGATCACATTTTCACCGTTTTGAAATGCCGCCAATAAATTAAGAGATGGATTTTTTTTTGGGGGCTTCTGAACTAAACGATGAATTTCAACTATTGATTGGAAATAACGATCAACATGAATAACAAAAATCCTCATATTATATCTGTTTGTGACTTTGTGTGTGTCTGTGCGATAAAATGTTTGGTTACAAAAGACAATATTTTTGTCGAAGCAAGATAATACAAAATTCTCAATATTATGAACTCCAAGAAAACAGTGTCATTTATTTTTGTTGAAATAATATCCTCTGATGACTTTTCTTCATCTGAAAAGTATACAAGTTATTAGCTAGTTATGTTATTTTTTAAACTCTCTGTATGTAAAAGCCTATATCTAGTTATGTTATTTTTTTCTGGTAACTATCTAGTTACGTTATAATTAATACTACTTCCGATCCTAATTATAAAACCCTGTTTGTAGACTATAAATAAAATTTTATAATTAGGACCAAAGTTAGTATCATATAACATTTTATAAAATATCAAATTATGTGACTTAACTTATAGATGTGTATGTAATTATGTAAGTGATTGAAGGATTTGAAAGCAAATTATTTATCTCAACCCGGCCAAACAAAAATATTTATATCTAAATATTTCTTCTCGCAGAATGTACATGTCATTAATTCTAGACGTAGCTAAATCTTTCCCAACCGTCTACTAAGCTGTGCAGCGGATAGACAATCATGATTATTTATCTACGGTTTGCATATCAAACGCAGTTTAGCTCACATAGTTACAAGGGAATTTGGATATAATATAAGAGCATATATATTTTAATTGTTCATTTAAAATTAAAGTTGAATAATTTAAATTCTATTCTACTTTATTCTCGATATTTTAATGTCCTTTTGTTTTCACACCAAATTTACAAATAAACATAACTTTTATGAATAATGATTTATTTAAAGTGAGACTTTAATGTACAATATATATATATATATATATATATATATATCCTACGTAAAAGTAAGATCATTGCAGCTTCGTGATCACTTATTTTAGTCTAATACTCCTCCGGTCCTAATTATAAGACCCAATTGACTTATTTGAGGAGATTAAGGAAGTAAGTTAAGTTGGTTATTTATAATAAATAAGTGTTGTCATTCCTAAAATATCTTTGCTAATTAAGTATATTAGCTAAAACTATCATTATTAGAAGGATTATCTTGGAAAAAAATGCATAAATATAAGAGAAAAAATAGATTGGGGTCTTATAATTAGGACCAAATAAAAAGTCAAATGGGGTCTTATAATAAGGACCGGAGGAGTATAATCTAAGATGGCCGTGAAGCTTCTTGGAAAATCATTGAGGGACTATACTTTGCTTTTTTTTCATTTGAGGGAGATTTCTAAATGGTGGGGGCAAAAGGAGGAAGACTTTAATTGACTCATAATTTTATAATATAACAACCATAAATCTTATGTTGACAATAAAAATTTAGCCGTCACAAGAGCATGGTAACAATAAGATAAAGATTTAAAATTAAAAAAAATGGAATCATCTAACTTGCCGCGCTAAGAATTAATATTGAGACGCATCTAATTTAAATTATCTAATATTAGAAATAACCACAATATTATTAGCTGTAATCAGGACTTGCGATTTGATAGAACGATTGCGGTTACGCGCGACAAGAGACTGTTTGTGTGTGTGTGCGTGTGCGCGCGCGTGCGCGTGGGTGTGTGTGAAAACCGCAAAATGGGTGCTAAAAATAGGAAGGAAATTTTTTAGTAATTTAACATCTTTTAAAATGTTTGGATTTAAGATCATATTTACACAGTTTTGAAATGCCATCAATAAATTAAACGAGTTTTTTTGGGGCTACTATATTAAATGATGAATTCCACCTTTCAATTGGGAGTGTTTGGTGTGTGAGAATGTTTTGTTAGAAAACAGGGCTTTCTTTTGTCCAAGCAAAATAATATCTTGCAAGAGCACACTATCTGACACCAACAAAAATGCTCAATATTATGGACTCTGAAAATATTGTGCATTTATTTTTGAATTTTTATCCCTTTTTTTAAAAAAGAAGAGGTTGTTGAAATAACGTGTTCTCTCCACATTTACTTTGACTTCTCTTCATCAGAAAGTGTACCAGTGATCCATCAAAGTATAGCCCCACAATGAACTCTATAAAAATTCTATGTACCATCCACATTTGATGCCTCACAACATCTCACCAGCTGAAAAAAATAAACAAAAAGAAACCACAATTATCCCAGAACTTTGTGTTTTGATCCTCCCTAGTTGTTTCACTTTTGAACTTGTATTGAAGCTATTTCGTCGCTGTGATGGGTTGTGTATTCGATTTTTTTAATGCATTATTGACACTGTAGTTGTTGCTGCACACGAGACTCAGTTTGGCCACTGATGGTGAAGCTTTGAAGAAGTGCATCGAGAAGGAGAGGAATGCTCTTCTGTTGTTCAAACAAGGCATCTATGATGACTCTGGTATGGTGTCCACATGGAGGGACAGAGATGATGAAGATTGTTGCAACTGGAGGGGAGTTCATTGTAGCAATCAAACAGGTCATGCTCAAATTCTTGATCTTCATAGTTCAGATCCACTTTTTTTGAGAGGTACAATTAATATTACTTTGTTGAGTGAGTTGCATGATCTACAACATTTGGATCTCAGTTACAATTATTTCTACCCAAGTGACATCCCTCAATCCATAGGCTCATTCACCAACTTAAGGTATCTCAACCTCTCTTATTCTGATTTTGTTGGGAGTATTCCCAATCAACTTGGAAAGCTTCCAAATTTACAATATATTGATCTGAGTAACAATTACTTGGATGGAGCTATCCCTTGCCAAATCAGAAATCTTTCCAAGTTGCAGTCCCTTAATCTTGGAGAAAATAATCTTGTTGGAGTGATTCCTTATCAACTTGGGAATCTCTCCATGTTGCACACCTTGCGAGTTGGTGGTTATTTGTCTAACCTCACAATAGCTGACAAAAACAATGGTGATGCAGAGTGGATATCAAAGCTCTCTTTATTAACAAATCTTGAGTTGAGTTATGTGAGGGATGTTGGCAATTCTCACGTGTGGCAGCACACGATAGGTCAACTTGTGCCGAAACTAAAAGAATTGAGACTGGGAGGATGTGACATTTCTCATGCACATAACCTTCTTTGGTTTGCTTCTCCTTCCAACTATTCTTATTCTCTTGTCACCCTTGATCTCTCTGACAATAACTTGAACTCATCATTATTTCAATGGTCCTTCAACTTTAGCTCTAACCTTCAACAGCTTTATATAAGTAATTGCAGTCTTTCATCTCATAATCTTTACTTTCTATCTTCTCATTTTCATTTTCCTTCACTCATTGTTCTTGATTTCTCTTATAATAACTTGATGTCAATAACGGCATTGAGCTTTGGCTTCAACCTTCAAGAGCTTTATTTGAGCAATTGTAGCCTTACATCAAATAATCTTATCTTCACATCCTTCAATCCCAACCTTTCCTCTCTTGTCCATCTTGATCTCTCTCACAATCTTTGACATCATCAACCATATTCTATTGGATTTCCAACTTCACCTTCAATCTTCATGAACTCGACCTCTTGGGAAACTCGCTTAGTCGTTCCATTCCCGATGGTTTTGGAAACGTAATGAAGTCTCTTGAAGTTCTTGATCTTCAGGTAATAATCTCCAAGGTGAAGTCCCAACACCACTAGGGAATATATGCACATTGAAGAGCCTAAGCCTTGCCTACAATAACTTTAGTGGCGACCTTCCGAGATTCATTTCTAATATATCATGGTGCAATAGACATTCATTACAGAGTTTGAATTTAGCAGGAAATCGATTGACGGGCATCTTACCTAATCTTTCAAGTTTTTCCTTGTTGCAAGATTTGTATCTCGCTAATAACCAACTAGAAGGAAAAATACCTGAAAGCATCGGATTGATGTCTCAATTGGAAAGTTTGTCCTTGGGTGGGAATAATTTTAGTGGTGTAATCACGGAATCTCATTTCAAAAAGCTTTCTAATTTATTGAGCTTATCATTGTCTGGCAATCCATTAACCATAAACATTAGCGCCAGTTGGATTCCCCCTTTTCAATTACAATCTATGCGCATGGCTTCTTGCATGATAGGTCCTAATTTTCCAATTTGGCTTCATAATCAACATCGGTTATCCTATTTGGATATCTCTGATGGCAGGCTTTTAGGTTCTATCCCAGAATGGTTTTGGCCACTATTGAAAAATATATATCACACGAATATCTCATTCAACAACTTTTCTGGTGAAATACCAAATTTACAATTCAAGTTCAATTATCAGCCAAGAATTATTTTGAATTCAAACAACTTTGAAGGTGCACTTCCACCATTTCTTTGGCAAGCATCAGAACTTCATCTTTCTAAAAATAAATTCTCAAATTTGATCCCACTTCTATGTAGCCAAATTGAATATGGAGGCATTGTCATTTTAGACCTATCAAACAATCAATTAACAGGGCATCTGCCTGAGTGTTGGAACCAACTGGACACATTAAAATTTGTTGACATGAGTAATAATAATTTGTCAGGAGAGATCCCATCCTCTATAGGACGCCTTGTGAATGTGGAGGCTATGGTTTTGAGTAACAATAGCTTGACTGGAGAACTTCCTTTGTCTTTGGCCAATTGCTCCAAGTTAGTATTATTGGATGTGTCAGAAAATAAGTTGTCAGGGCCAATACCTTCATGGATTGGGGTAAGCCTTGAACAATTGCAAATTCTAAGTTTACGAATGAATCATTTAAATGGAAGTCTACCCGTACATCTTTGCCACTTAACACAAATTCGACTCTTGGATATCTCTCGCAATAACTTGTCCAATGAAGTTCCATCATGCCTTGAAAATTTTACTGTTATGGCACAAGAGCATATCAACTCAAGTGGAAGTTATCATTATTATATGACCAATAAAGCAGGGCCTTATCCATACTCTGATGGTTTGGAATTCTATATAACATTGATGTGGAAAGGTGAGGATTACAAGTATATGAGGCCGGAGCTCTTTCTTAAAAGCATTGATCTCTCTAGCAATGCTCTATCAGGAGAAGTACCAAGAGAACTTATGTCTTTGTTAGGATTGGTTTCCCTAAACCTATCAAGAAACCTGCTAAGTGGAGAGATACCTATAAATATTGGGAATCTAGAATCACTAGAATTTCTCGATCTGTCAAACAATAAATTATCAGGCCCAATTCCTCCAAGCCTTGCTAATATTGATCGACTCAGTATGTTAGATTTGTCAAACAATCATCTCTATGGAAAAATCCCAATAGGAACACAGTTGCAGAGCTTTAATGCCTCATCTTATGGAGGAAACCTTGATCTCTGTGGATTGCCACTCAACAAGATGTGCCCAGAAGATAACACGCCTCCACCTCAAGAAGCCAATCACAATGAAGAAGAAGGGGCCTCATTGATCTCTCAAGAATTTTACTTGAGCATGGGATTGGGATTGTTGTTGGATTTTGGGCCGTTGTAGGACCGTTGCTTTTCAACCGAACTTGGAGACAAGCCTACTGTAGGTTTATGAACACAGTAACAGACAAAGTCCATGTCATGGTTGCAGTTTATGTGGTTAAATGCCTTACCATCAGAGACGAGCCGGAAGGTAATGATTTATATTTTTCTCTTGCTATTCTTCCTCCCATTCAACTCTTACTTATGATAACCATGTGATGGTAAATTACGAGAGTCCATGTTAATATAGACAAACATTTTAACTTGGTAATGATGTTCAAATAAAAATCAAACTTGGACATTGTATAAGTATTAGGCTTTTGACTAACTTATGGGAAAACTAAGATAGTAAAAATCAATCTTATCTATGGAATTACTTGGGAATGCTTAACATGCTACTCTATTTTTTACAGGATCTGTTTCTCCTATAGTTTGGCATTGGCTGTACTTATGATCCAAGTAATGATGGTTCGTTGCACGAATTTATGTTATGATTTGAATATATTGTACTTATAATAATGTTTTCTACTAGCATTTTATCGAACTAGTTATGTTTTGCTTATTGCCCTTTAAATATTTTCTGTTGCATGCTAATGGTGGATATATATATATATATATAACTCCAGCATAAAATCATGTTTTGTATTGATATGGCCAAGTGGAGCTATTGATCAAATAATTCTGCTGAAGAACAAAACCTGAGGTCCATAATTTCATGAAGTAGAACTTACAAATTGGTTTGATTGAGTTGTGACAAGGCATTGAAGACTGATATCTTTGATTGTTGAAAAAATCGGTGCATCCAAAGGAAAGTCTTGTCGAATAGTTTTAAAACTTTTTGAGGGACAAATATCTAGAACAATGAAGTTAAATATTTCAAAGCTATTATGTTTTGATGTCCAGATTATTCTGCGTGAGTTCTCTTTTGTATTTGAGATACTCTTCCTCTGCTTAAACTGCATAATATTGAAGAGAAAAGTTGTAAAACTTGGGATCTAGACATGTTAGAGAGCCTTGTATTTTTAGCTTATAAAGCTTACAGAAAACAACAATAAAAAGTGGCATAGGTAAACAGAGTCAATGTTTGGGCTGCTTTGTATGTTATAATAATTACCCCCATGATAAAAAAATCCCTTGCTTTGTGCTTGGGGACTGGACGTAGGACATATAGGTTTGAACTAGGATAAATGATCTTGTGCTTACTCTCTCTCTTCACTTGTTTTATTTGTTATTTTTTAAAGTTATATTCAAGGATAACCTCATCTTTCATAGAAATTTCACCGAAATAGAAAAATATTTTTGTGACATAATTAAACTTTTTTCTTAGATTTCTAGGTCAACACAACTCTAGAGATGATGCTCTAATGCATGTTCATTAAGAATATTCCCCAAAAATACATAAGTTCGACTCTTAAGTATAAATAACTTCATAAAGCAATTATTAATTTTAAAAAGTAGTTTGATTTTTCTTAACATTTGTTCTCAAAAAATAGCTGATTTTTTTAAAAAAATGTTTAACACTAATACTACAATCAAAGAGATTTAGTGGAATTACTCAAATCTGCATTCACACCTAGTAGGCCCAAATCCTATGGTATAAGCATTGATTCTAATATAACAGGGTCATCATCAATATATCAAAAAACAAAATTTATGGCAAGTTTTGTTATTCACGCTCATTCATAAAATATTAAATAACATTAATTCAACAATAAATTTTTTTGGTATGAGCAACTTGAAACATTTTCTTAGAAGAGGGATCCAGACACTCCATTTTTTACTACTTTGAGATATAAAATCCGCGCCTCAAGGTACGAGATGTCATTGAATTAAAAGGTTGGTTCTCAACAATTTATAACAACGCGTGCGCACAATGCTTTTATGTGGGAAAAGAAACTGGTGAAGCCCACAAACGTGGAAAGGATTGTGATTGTGTGGTTCTCCGTACAATTTTGGCTTTTTTCCCGCAAAGCAAGCTTTTGGAGTTTCAGAATTGGAAGTCGAGCACTTTACACTTATATAAATATTTAAAATAGTACTTCTAATTTTTAATATAAATATAAAAATTAAATAACTAATTTATAAATATTAAAAACTAATTAAATTAGTTATTTTTAGTAAATAAATATTATTTTTAAAAAATATTTTATTAATATGTGTATTAAAATGAAAATCATTTAACATATAAAATTTAAAAAAATAAATAAATATAAAAATAAAATAAATTAAAATTTATATTTAAAATATATTGCATCATTTGTTTTTTTTTTCTCAAGTTGATTGCACCATTCTAAACTTTTCTTTTTCTTGACAATTTTACACATTTTTTTGCCACCCACTCCTCAAATATCGTACCAAATTCTCCGTCCCGTTATTACTACTACTACTACTATTATTATTATTTCCTTCATTATTTTTTGAGAGAATCATATACAAGAACCCATTCACAAAATTGTTATCATTTGTTTATCAATTGTTGTTAAAACCAATATTAATATTGTAACAAGTCCTTATTTATAATTTTTTTATCTTTAAGATCTTTTTTTTTGTGATTTTTTCTTATTTTTCCCCCAACAATTTCCTTCATTATTATTTACTTATATTCATAACTTTTTTTGTGTGGAAATACCCTCTTTATTTCATATTACACCCCTTTTTTAAATTTCATTTCTGGATTTTTTTTGACGAAAATGCATATTTATTGATTAATTTACCCATTTTGGGCCTCATATTTTCATCTATTTAGATATTTTCACCATTATTTCTATCGTTAAGTCGATTAATTTAATCAAGAAAGACATAGATTGAATAAGAAATTAATAATACTTAAATTATTATTTAAAAGTTATTTTTATTTTTTGGAAAATCAATTTTCTCCTATAATATCTACAATATTCATTTTCCCGTGATTAAATTTCTTTCCTCATTTTGACAATAAGGATAATGATAACATTGAAAATAAAGCGTAGCTAACTATTTCCCAACGAAAAGATATGAATGGTTGGATAAGCTTGAAAGGGACTTGAGGTATTATTTAATTTAATAAATTTAGAGTGAAGAAAAAGCTATTGGCTGGTAGGAAGAATTATAGTGTGATGTCTATATCAAACTTATAAATATTATTCTTATCATTACTCCTTTTCTCAGTAGATTAAATATGTTAGTCGAGTTAGTTAATATGATATTTTTTCTAAAACACTCTAAGTGTCTTTCTTAAATCCTTCACCTCTCTCTTACTTGATTATTGTGAAGAAAATATTAATATGGTTAATTTAAAAAAATTGATAAATATGTAAAATAGGTCTTACATATAAGATCAAATATCAACTCTCTAATTAAATTCTATATCAAAAACCAAAGGAGCATTATATAAATGTATTTAACGAAAAATATAATTCATTTGATTCTTAACATAAAAAGTACTTAACTAATTTAAGTATATTATAAAAAAATGTGATGTGATCATCTTAAGATAACTTACATCATATTATCTTGCGTATCGTTTTATAAGTTATCAAGTAAGTTGGTTTGGAAAAAAATTATAAATATATGAGATAAGATAAATTAAGATTTTATATATGTAAGATTAAATTCACTCTCCTGTCTAACTTTCATATTAAAAATTCGAGGGAGTACTAATAGTTTGAGGGGTACGATGAGCGATATGAAGTGTGCATATTTACTCAGCCATAGTTAATGATACACACAAACACTGACACGGTAGTCCGTAGGGTTAACGTCCACCTCTATTATTAGTAACAGTGGATGAAGCAATGGAGTTAAAGACATGGGTGTTTTAAGAAAAAATAATTTAATATCAAAATTATTCTTTGATCAGAAAATCAAACTCAGATATATTAAAGCATAAATTGGGCGATGGGATGTGGCTCAGAGTCTAAGGGTGTGTTTGGTATGAGGGATTTGGGAGGGAGGGAGGGGAGGGGAGGGAAGGGGAGGGATTTTAATCATTTTCTCTTGTTTGGCAACACACAAATTTTAGGAGGGGAGGGAAATTTTTTTAAAATTTCCCCTCCCCTCCCCTCCAAAATTGGGAGGATTTGGAGGGAAAGGGCAATATTTTGTCATATTATAACCATTATGCCCATATTTTGTCATGTTGTAACCATTATGTCTATATTTTGTCATGTTGTGACCATTATGCCCACACCTTAAATAAAATAAGAGCAAAATTATCCATATTAAAATGTTTTTCCCTCCCCTCCCCTCTTTTTTTATAAATCCAAACAAGATAATATTAAAATCCTTCCACTCCCCTCCCCTCCCCTCCCCTTCCTTCCATTAAAATCCCTCCCCTCCCCTTCCTCTCATTGAGCCAAACATACCCTAAGACGTAGCTGGGAACAAACAATTGGCTGGGTAATAAATAAGGACCAAGATTAGAAAGTGATGGTATTTTAATTCATTAATGCTTTAACCAAAGCTACTATACCCTTATTATTCTCCCTGTAGTCCTTTACCGCCTCTTAAATTGTTCATCCCAAGTCATTTGCCAAGCTGTAGGGTCTAAGGGCAACACAGCATCTTATTTGGTCCCAATCACTCCTTCAAATTAACCCTACGGATTATATAATATTGGAAAACACACCATCTAATTAAAAAAAAAAACTTAAATCAGTAATGTATCATGTAAAAATTAGTTTTGCATTTTAAATTAGCTTAAAAATTAGTACTAATTATATCTACAATTGTTACTTTTGGAGACAAGTACGCACTAATTATACTTAAAAAAGTTAGTATTATAACAAATATTGAGGAAAAAAAACAAGTAAAATTTAAGACTTGTATTTAAAATGGAAAAAGTAGTACTGTCTCAAGATTATATAAGTTTTCTTTTCTTTTTGTTAGAAATATTGGGTAACTCCAGTAACAGCTTACACAATGTGCGTGTGCACGCTGCTAATCACGCTCTTTACCTGTGCTTTGAATTATATGGAGGTAAAATTATAGATATTGAGTTGAAAAGACTTAAAATTTAAGAATTGAATTAGAATCGAATTAGTT